GATGTTGTATCAATTATTAATTCAGATTCTTTGTTATTATTTTTTTTTAAATTATTTGTTGTTTCATCATTAATCTTTTGAAATTTACTTAGTATATACTTTTTAGCAAGAGATTTGTGTATATTTTTTAATTGAAGTTTATAGTTTGAAATTTTAGGCATCATGCTAAAAATTATTTAATGCTATTGTTAACCTTAGAATCTACCTCTTCAAGAATTCCTAGTGACTGCTGATTATAGTATGAAGACTATAATATTTTACAGCTTTAGATAGTAATAGGTATTCAAGAAGGACTTAACAAAGAGGATTTAGATAATAAGACAATTTAAAGAAGCAATATATTTAAATATATATGAAGACATAAGTAAACATTCACATACTAAACATTAACTATCAATATAGTTAATAGAATTCAACTAACACAATAGTTGAAAGATAATTATAACAGCATTATAAGTGAGTTTATTTAGTAAGTAACTCCTAAGAGAATACATATTTAAACCAAATCAAATTGAAAAGCTTTGGAAAGGTCAAAAGCCAGCTCTTTTATAAATATTTTACATGTATAAATAATTATAATACTCTATTTTAAAGACTATAGTTAATAAAATATTTAATATATAAATAATATAAATAAATAGAATGAGTTTATTCACCTATTGTATAATATCTGCAGCTAATCATGTGAAGTGCAAACAATAAAAACAGCCTATTTTTATATATAACTTATTTCAAGATAATTATTTGTTTTGATTTTCGAACTGATCCAAGATTAATCAAATTTCACGATTCTGATTAGTTAAAGATAACAGGTGACTATCAGATAATCTTGTGATGTGTTGACCCTATATAGCTTCATATAATGTTTCTTTTACATTATCTCAATTTTTTATTATGCAAATCGACTTTCATTTATAATTGAAAAATGTCAATTATATCAAAATTTATATGAATATAATAAAAACCAATTTTTCAAAAAAATGTAAAAATAGGCTGTTTCTATTATCCGCATCCTATATAATCTACATATGATTTACTAAAAGAAATCATATTATTTGAGTTATCTCAGTATATAGTAATACAATCTTAATAATTTTAGATTCTTTAGAATCATCTAGATGAGCTTAATCTAATAGTATTTGTTTCATTTAATTTGAATTGATAAAACAAAAGTTATTAAGGATTTTGTGTTTTTCCTTAATATTCTATATGTCAACACTATGTGAAAGATATTTTTTTTCCTCAAGTTATACTCAAATTGCTTTTAAATTTTTATTTTACAATAACAAGTTAAAACAAACACATATTTTATATAATCAAAACATATAAAATAGTCATAAAAGCAAAAATCTTAAAATAAAAAACTTGAATTAAAATATTTAGTACAATTCCAATTCACAATAAATATTTTTTTTTTGGTTAGTATATACATAATGATAATAAATTTTAAAATGATTAAAATTTAATTGAAAGCTTACAAGACTCTATTTCTAATTATTAAAGCTATTTTATCATAAACAACTTATTATTTTAGTTAGAACTTATATAATAGTAACAAATAACAGAGTTTTAAAAAAGCTCAGTGTTAGCTAATTTATCAAACAAACATATGCCATTAAAACAAATATGCAGATCTTAAAAAGTTTAGTTTGAAATTTTTTAGTTAGAATATGCAAAAAAATCATTAAACAAATGTTAATTTTTTAGAACATGAATAAAAAACAAAAAACAAATTCTTGAATAGTTTAGTATTAAAGCTATTATTTTTTTTACTTTTGTATAATTTTAATATGATAAAAACAAATTTTTTGAGCCTTAAAATAAGAGCCCAAACTAAGCCTAAACCCAACTTGGTCTATAAATTTTGAGTTTTACTATCGAGAAATATATTACAATTAAAATCTGATACTTAATATTATTGACAAATTAACAGACCATATTATAGATTAAATTAAAGTATCTAAATCCTTATTCAAGAATTTAATTAAGTATTATTCATGAACAAGATAGAGAAGAAAATATTTTAAGTACTAGAATATTATTTAGAAGGATTCTCAAAGTGCTGAATAGTATGACTTTATTGCTCAATACTATATTACTAATAGCTAATACTCTTCAACATATTATGTAACTAAAATTATATAAATCATATGACTAGAGACAAGAACTACTTCAATAGTTAAAAATGCCTAATTAATTAAAAATTTTCAGCTGTCATTTCCTTTTATTATACTATACAAACTGTTTGATATAAAAATTGCAAGATAAAAATAGTCTGTATATAAAGTAAATTGATTTTTTTAAATATTTACTAGTCTTCTATCAATTTTATTAATGCAATATTTTAAAATATCTGATTAATTAAAAATTTTCAACTGCCATTTCTTTAAGTTATATTAAGTCAATTGTTTTCTGTAAAGATTCCTTAAAAAAAATAGGTTATAAGTGAAGTGAATTAACTTTTGAGTACGAATCTTTTACTAATAAATAGTTATGATATATTTTATGCATAAAATCTAACTATATTATTATTATTTATGTATTTCACATGATTTTGATTAATTAGTATATGAAATATCCTAATATATCATTATATGTAAATATTAATAGTGATCACAATATATAAAGTTCTGAAATTGGCTAATTCGATAACAGGAGTGACTGTTTCAAATAAGAAGTAGGTTATACAAACTCAATAAAATTATTATTAACTTTAGGATTAGAGTTAGGCCTGAGTTAAGGTTAGAATTAGCAGGTATATAGGTAAAATTAACTTCTCTAATATTTTTTATTAGTGTATCAAAACAGGTTTAGATAGCCATTTTTTTTATATTTTTTTTGCTTCACTAAGCTGATCTGAGTTAGCAAAAAATTCATAATTTGATTAGTTAATTCACATGATTCTACTTTACTTTAGATAACCTCCTTATTTAGAAGATATTAATTTATATTTAATAATTTTTTCGATTAACTTTAGAGTTAGGAACTCTTATATTAGAGTTATGTTAGGTTTTAGATAGTTATATATAAGCAAAATTATCTTCTTGACATTTTTATTTAACTTATCTGAGGTAGATTTAGACTGCTATTCTTTGTATTTTTAGGTTTTTTATTTTTATTTTTTGTTTTACTTTACTAGTGATTATCAAAATTCTATAATTTTATTAGCTATAGTCACGTAAATTCAACTCTACTTTAGATGATCTTTGAATAAGGAAATTAATATTTCAATCTTGCATATTTTTTAATCTAATCAAAACAAATATTAATATAATATCATATGACAATCAGCTAATAAAATCATAAATTTTATAAATTAAAAAAACTATAAAAAATAAGAAAAATAAGCAAACTGAAGTGAAAATTTATATTCAAAGTTCAAAAATAAGTCTCAATAAATAATGCCATGAAGCAAATTAATATATACTTATAAGTTTAAACTATTTATTGACTAAATTTACAAACTGTTAACTAATACAATTATTATAGTATTATTTACAAAATCTTAATAATCTATATATATATTCATTTTTACACTCACTTCTATATCTAATATAACTACTATATAATTATTCTATTGTTCTAAAACATATATCATATTGATGCTTATTATTACTTAAACAATTTAAACAATTATATAAAATAAAATAAAAATATATAAAGTTAGTTAATCATAATATTATATTAAACTTATTATAAGAGTTTTATATAATAAAACTATAGAAACAATGCTTTGTACTCACATTATCTTTGCTAAATATTATTTTCATTGTTCAGTTTATTTTAGTTTATTTTTTTTATATATAAAATAACAAAATTTTGCTAATCTAGTTTATATAAAACACCTTTTTATATAGAATTTTGCTAAGTAAATCTTAGTTGAAAGTTATAGAATTCAAAGGAGTTCAACTGATATTATTAAAATACTGTATAAAAACTTCAAGTTTGCTTAGTACACTAGACCTAGTTAAAAGATAATCTACTTGTGCTTCTGAGAAAAGTATTATAATATGTATAAAAAAAATTCCAAATTAACTAAATCATTTGTATAATAATCTACAAATTCAGAGCATACATGAGATAATCACTCTTGTTTAATTTGATAAATAAGAGCTTTACAGTTAAAAGGACCCAAACTCTAATATATAAGTTATTCCTTAAACTATCTAGCAGGCAAATTTGCTTGCTAAAACTTTTTTTGTCTGATTTTTATACAATTGCTTCAAATTTTATTAAGAAGCACCCATATTTTCTAAGCTAAAATAAAAGTATACTATATACTAGATGTTTTGTATTACCTCAAGAAATTTTCTTAAGCACTACTTCTAAAACCAGCTAAATATAGTTAATTATACTATAGTCTTTATGATCAAATTTAATAGTAAAAAGGTATCTTCACATGACAATTATAAAAAATCTTCATGATCATTATGTGGAGATACCTTTCATAATATGATATTAAAGTTGGTAGAAGATTCTTTACAACTAACTTCACAAAACTGATTTTGGGAGCAATATAAGGAAGATAATATAACTCAAAAGTTCAAGTAAAATAGCATACTTTACAGCTATTGTATAAATCTATACCCTTTATTTGAATCATTTTAAGTATACAACACTGTAGCTATCAAGTATAATATGTAGTTTGAGTTTTTGGGAGTTAGCATAGTTGGTTGTAATAAATAGCTCTATGAAAAAAATATTTTTTTTATATTCTACTTTATCTAATTATATTAGCAGGTAGATTTGCTTGCTAAACTGAACAGTTTAAGAGATAATTTTGAAATAATTAGGTTTGAAAATTTTTTGTTTTGTTCGAACTAATTCGAGTTAACAAAATATCACAATAATAATTAGTTGATAATCCTATAATTTATCTTGCTTTCGACAATTTCAATTTTTTAGATGCTGCATTATCTTGACTTTTTATTAAATAAATCAGATTTTATTTATAATTAAAAATAGATCAAATATTAAATTTTATTTATATTTAGTAAAACTTAATTATTGTTTCTAGTGTAGTTTTGACCTTTTTAACGGCAAAGCCCTCAAATATGTAGCAAAAGTTAAAAGGTACAAAATAATTAGCAGAAAAGAAAAAATTTATATAAATCTATATTTTTAACTCTATCAATAAATATTTTTGCTAAATTGATCGATAATTTTCTATGTCTCTGTCTTATAATTATAATCAATAATTTTTGAAATTAATAGATAAATTAGAAAAAAAATTTTAGAGTTTAGATCATATTACTTCAAATTCTGCATTCTGATTTGACAATTTGGTCATATTGATATAAATTGATAATTTGACTATATCAATAACAAAATTGATAATTTTCTAGATCCTTGTCAAGAGAGTGAATTACTCTATAAATTGTGTTTATTACACATGATACTTGCATTATATAATAAATATTATGAGCTCTGAAAATTAAGTTCAAACTAGGCTAGAACCCTAATATGATCACAAATCATATAGATAAATTGCATAAATTGCATAAACAGTATATATTGCATATATACCATATATTGCATATATCACATATATTATATTTATTACATTTAAGCAATATATTGCCTATATGGTATTTATGAGATATATTAGGCAAATGCAATATATTAGATTTAGAGTTAATCTAGGATAAATGGCATAAATATAATAAATAGTATACAAATTTTATATTATAAATAAAGGCTGTGTAGGCCTATAGAGAAGAACAACTCTCCTAAGTTTTGCTTAGTAAGTTAAGTTCTTTATTAAATAATTATTCTAATACATTAAATCTCGAATAACTCTTTTTTGCTAAACTAATCCTTAAACTCTGATCTACTATTTCATATAGTACTCTGAATAGGTTAGGTTAGGTCAGATTATTGTCAACTTGAACTTGATCTGAAAGTTTGAATTAATTCAGGTTGAATAACTTTTAGATTAGTACTTCAATTCAATCTGAACCTGACCTAACCTGAACTTAATCTGAACTCAACCCAAAACTTTAAATATTAAATATTAATTTTATATAATTTTAATTTAAGTTAAATTATTTAAACTAATATTAATTTATTATTATAGCTTATTAAATAAATTTACTATTAATATATATAGTACTTAGATATAGTAGTTTATAATAAATTATAAATATATTTTCTTTATTATTTTATTTTAAAATTTAAATAAAATATATCAGATACTATATATATTTACTATATATCAATATAGAATATTAAAAATTTATTATATTTTAATTTAAATTAAATTTATTATTAATTTTTTTAATTTAGTACTATATATATTTTATTATTATTATAGCTTATTAAATTTTAATTTAAATAAATATAAAAATTTTATTAATTAATATATAATATAGTATTAAAACAAATTTTTTATTTATATAAATAAAGTAAAATATAAAATAATAATATAAAATATAGTAATATAATATAATATTTAAATAAAATTAATAGAAAAAAAATTTAAATAAATAAATTAAAAAAAAACCTATTACTAATAATAAATACTATAGTATATAAATAAAATTTAAATAAATTTTTAAAAATTTAATCTATATTATTTTTTAATTTTAATTTTAACCAGCTTTTTAAACACATACAAATTTTAATTGTATCAGGATTTAAGCTATATCTTTTAGCAGAAATTAAATTAGCACTACTTGAAAAAATACATTCAACAGGAACACTTGTTCCTAAAATATAAAAAATTTATTTTAATAATTAAATTTAAAAGAATTTTAATAATTTTATTTTTATTATATTTAAAATTAAAAATATACCAGGAATTGCTAAATAATCTTTAGCTATTTTTGATAAATTTGGATAATCTACTTCATGAAGCTATATTTAAATTAAAAATTAAATTTTTAGTTAATTATATTTAAAATATCTAATAATAAATATTTACCTTCCAATATGTTAATATATCTATATCATAATTTAATGGTGGTTCACTTAAATATTTTACAAGTTCATCAAATTCATTATGTTTTCTTTTTTTAGACATATAAGCAAGAAGTCCACTTGATTTGTTATTTGTTTCCTTATTATTTTGATTTTCTGTTTGTCTATATTTATTTTTCCATAAATTAATAATTTGCTGTTTATATATTTCAATTAATTCATCATCAAGTTCTTGATCTTTAAAATATTGTAATTTGAGACGTGGATCAATAACTATTAATATAATATAATAATAAATTAGTTATTAATTATTTAATAAATATATTTAAAATTACTTACTTGTAGAAATAATATAAACAAGTCCATTAGTTGTTGGAAAATATTTATTTAATTTATTTTTAGCTTTTTCAATAGCAGAAATAATATCATTAGAATAAGAATTTTCATTTAAAAATTTTTCAATCATATTTAATAAATAATTATAAATAGGAATTGAATAACTAAGTGTTGGATAATTTGATGCACTTATTTCAAGAGTAGCTTCTTTAAAACACTAATAAAAAATTTAAAAATAAATAATATTTTATAATATTTATAAATTATTTTTATATAATAAATTATTTTTACTTACTTCTAATAAATTTTTTATTTGTTTTAATTTATTCCATTCTGTATTTGTTAATGAATATTTTGAAAGACTTCTATCTGTTGATACTAATTCATCTAATGGCTAAAATATAAATTAATATTTAGTAAATAAAATTAAATAATTATATATAAAAAAATTACTTGTTGTAAATTTAATGCTCTTTCTAACATATCATATGTTGAATTCCAACGTGTTTTTACATCAACAATTAATTCTAATTGTTTAATATTTAAAATAAAACATTGTCGTTTAAAACGTTCACGTTTTTGTGGAGATTTACGAATTTTAATTATTATTTTTTTTAACTACAAATATAAAATTATATTATTAATAAAATTATTAAATTTATTTAAAATATTTTATATTAAAAATATAAAATTTATTATTAATTTTATATTTAAATATAAATATTATAAATATTTTAAAAAATAAATAAATTAAATATAATAAATTATACTTTTCCAAGTGCTCCTAAATTATTAATATTTGTTATTTCATTATCATTATCTTCATCTGAATTATCACTTTCATCATTATTATTATTATTATAAAAAGATTTTAAAATTTCTTGAACGGATAGATTTATAATATGAGCAAGACAATATATATGTTGATTTTTAGAATCAAATTCTAAATCTTCATTATTGAAATTTTCTTCTAAATTATTAAACATTGAATTCATGTTTTTAGCATTATCTGAAGTAATACCTAAAATCTAAAAATAAAATAATAATTAATTATTAATTAATTTTTTTATAAATAATAAAATATAAATACTTTTGTTAAAATATTATTTTCTTTTAGTATTTTAAAAAATTCTTCAGCTAAATTTTTGCCTGAATAAGGGCCTTCAAAATAACTAAACTCAAGAGTACAATGTTGAAGTTGCCAATTATTTGAAATCCAATGAGCAGTTACTCCTCTACTACAGATATAAACAAATTCAATATATCAAAAACTACTTCAAATCCTCAAACTCTAATAATCTAATAGATAAATATCTATTAGATTATCCAGAAAACTCTCTTAACTCCAATACACCCTCTCTTGATCAAATTAAAATTGAATTCTAACTTATCAAAACATCACTCAACTACCAACAAAAACAAACTACTTATAATGATATAAAACAAAAAATAGAAAACTGAAACAAATCTTTTAAAGAAACTCTCAAATTCTTCTACAAAAAAATATTAGAAAAATACAATAATCTTAATTTAGATAAACTCTTAATTAACAATTCTCTTCTTACAGAACATGATGAAATACTGAATGTAGTTCAACACTATTTTTCTAACTATTTTGAAAACATATCTACACAACCAATTCCACTATCTTCAGAATTCTTCAAACTATATCAACTACACCCAGAACTGGAAATTTATTACCAAAATCTATTTACAGAAATCTCAGATCAAGAATGGCAAGAAACTATTGCTAGTTTACCTAACCAAAAAGCAGCTAGCCCTTCTGAAATCTGCTATGAACATATAAAATACTCAAACCAACAAACACAAAAAATCCTTAAAACCTTTATAAACAAATGCTTTCAACTTCAAAAAGTTCTTACTGAATAGAAATCATCTAACATCTTTTTAATTTCAAAAAAATTAGATTAGGACTTACTCTTAACCAAGTAAGGCCTATCTCTATTATAGAACCTTTTAAAAAAACACTCACAAAAATATTTATCAAACGACTCAACAAAATAATCATATCGAATAACCTCCTCTCAAACTTAAACTTTGCTGGATCAAAAAATTCATCTACATATACACCAATTCAAATTCTGCATAATACAATTGAACATTATAAATCACAAAACAAAGAAGCATAGATTTTATTTCAAGATATGTCTAAAGCATTTGACAAAATAAATATATCTCATCTTCAAGAAACATGCAAAAAAATAGGTATTCCAACTAAAGGTATAAACTTTATCACTGAACTACATACTTCTCACCAAGCAAAAATCATTACTGCACATAGCCTCACTACTCCTATTCAACTCAATTCTGGAATTGAACAAGGAGAAACATACTCACCATTTCTTTGGAAAATTTATTATGACCCTATTCTTATCTTTATTTCACAAAAATACCATAATTATCTCTTAAAAATCTCATCTCAATCTCCGCTTGATCTTATTTCTAATACCATTCTGACCTCTATTACTGTACTGCCACTAGCATATATGGATAATACAGTATAGCATTATGAAAACCAACAAACTATGCAACATATTCTTAATGATACATCAAAACTATATGAGCTTAATAACCTAACAATCAACT